AGCCTCAGTAAGGAATTACTAGTTCCTTACACTCTCCCCCCTTCTAGATAAGCACACAAGTAAACAAAACCACACACACTCTAACTGAATCTTGGAGTAGTGAAGCCACCACTGTTGAGAATCTCGAGCTTCTTCAAGAAACTCCATCCAACGGTCAACACACGTCGAAACGATCGCGGTCGATCGTAACCGTCGAATTTTGGTCGAATTACTCAGATAAGCAAATGGGCAGTAGGGATACTGCCGCACCACAGCTTCCTTGTCTCCAGCGAGTCCTTCGCCGAGAATTACAACTCCCGTCGTCGTGTACACATGACGTCTAGTGAACCGCCCATTCGTCAGAGGCCCCCATGCACTCGTCAGTCCGACTGGCACGGATTTACAGGCAACGGCCCGTCCTGGACTAGCCCAATTTTGGGCGGCTCTACCACTTGCGACACTGCTGGGAGCGAAGATGCAGAAGGAACAATTGTAGGTTGACTCGGAACCAGGGTGTGATTGTGCGACAGTTACCGGGGTATACGGGAGAAACAACGAATGTCTTCCATGTTCAAGGGTCCTGCCAAACGGGTAACCATGGTCCTACCTTTAGGCCCAATTTGCCAGCGATTTGAAGGAGTCTGTTACTGGAGTAATCGACTGAAAAAAACTTCGGCCTCTTTTAGACCTCTAGTGAACTGTATCCGCACAGTAACACTACGTTATTCACACTGCTGCAAATTGGCGAGCCGAATCTTCTGCATGTGCCAAACTTGTCCGTAGTTCCACAACTGTAGATCACTCCCAGTTTAATTTCACGTGAGTCGTGACACTCGCAGAAACGCGCGTCTGTATTTCGCAAAGTCAACGAACTCCAGCTATTCGTCAAATGCGAGGTCATTCGCGACACATGCGAGGTCTCACGAAAGTCAGCAAATTCCATCAGCTCATGGACGAGAGCTTAATCGGTCCAGTAACCGTAGTCGATGTCGCCTCAAATGGTTAATGTAAACACAAATTTACCTTTCCCAAACTCCTGCGAAATTCCCGAAAAGGCCAACTCGAATCAGTCCGTCGATTCAGTCGGTCAAATAGCATCTGGCCGTCGGTGTTTATGCAGCGGATGCCAATTGTTGAGGGAAAAATAAAAAAAACAACTGCTGCGCAACTGCTCTCTCCCCCCTCCAGGAAAAGAAGATCTTCTGTCGAAGTCAGTCTACCGCTCCAAGTATTTCTTCAGACCCTCTGCTCGTCGGGACCAGTCTCAGCGCAACCCAACAACGCAGGGCAGATGCGCCACATAGACTCTGGCTCTGTCCAACGCCGTAGATAATAATTGTGCTCCGCAGAATGCCGTCGATCTGCTTAGTGTTGTAAATTCCGAAACTCCTCCAGACCGGTTCGCCGTGCAGACGTTCACCCATCGAGCGGCTACGGCAGGTACCCCAAAAAAACTCGGGTACAGTTCTCAGCTACGAAAAGTGCATTTTCTGCAGTTTCACTGACTAACCATGCTGGTATTTAAACCATTGCATAGCTCGGTAGGTACCCGTGACCCCAGCTACCGCTCCAGCCGAAAACTTGAAGAATTCCCACCCGAAAAATACCCGACGTTTTAGCGACGCGCCGACGTTCACCCATACTTGCGCCCGTCCAGGTAAATCCACAAATGAGTCCTCGCAGCCAAGTCTTCGATTATAGTCCTGCAACTAAGGAATAATCCTTGAAGACTCCCACGTAACTCCAAATTTTCCGTGACGGCAACACGTTTCTCCCATTGCAACAGTAACTCTTGTCTTCCCGAAGCTCCATTTGATGAATACACTCCAGAGCAGGGGTGAATCCGCTATGTGCCCGTACTCAGATAAGCGCAAACGCTGTTGTAGTTCGGCGAATTAATCAGTCTAATTCGCGGGCAACCGCTTTGCAGCTTACGTGAGGGATTCTCCTTCCCCTCCCTGAAAAATCTGTTTATGTAAAAATCTGCTCCAAACTGCTTCAAAATTTCTTCCACTTCTGTTTCACGATAAAACCCCCGCAGCCCGCTATTCACCCAGCGCCCACGTTCGTCATTCTCCCAATAGTACCGCACACGTTTTTTCGAAAAGCTCGCAGCTCCGTCGATTGCAGCGACAATCCTCGCCGTTCATATCGGACTTGAGCTCTGCGTACCGTCTGATCATTCTTGCAAAAAACCTTCGCTTTTTTCATTAACCTTCTTCTCGCGCCTCCCGCTGTACAGCATCCGATTTTCACAAATCGTTCGCCCGTCGTGTAGCGCCGAAAACATTTCTTCATCGATCCACCAGCACAGGGTGATCCGCTGGCACATCCTTCTTAATTCGCCCGGGAGCGGTCGATAGCATGTATCGTACTACCACACGGTGGAGATGCTGAAAATTGGGCGACCCAGCCAAGTCAGCCGGGGGATCCATCTGCCGCTGACTCCGTAAAAATTTCCTGGCTGTTCCCAGTCGTTCTCCATCTCTGCTTCAGCTCTTCGCCGTTGACTTTTAGTGGTGACCTGATGATGACACTTAAACTCGCCCTATGTAGATCGTGGAGTGTAATTTCTGACCACGAAAATGGTTTCCTCTGCGGGAATCCAGACTCGCCGAGCTCGAAACTCTAGGGCAGACGAATTACACCTCCAGGCGGGCAGGTCACGCGAAACGATTTTGAGGTCAGTACTCCTCGAAACTCTTCCGTGCCTGGGCCCCACGTGTGCTGCCGTGCGATCCTTGGTCGTGCCGAAAACTCCAACGCCACGTTGCTGAACAGTATCCGAAGTTCCGTCTTCACCTGCGTGTCGCCTGCAGGAAACGCCGAGCCCTTTGACATCCGCTACACTTCACCATGCAGCCACGTCTGCTATACGCGCTCCTGACGAAATCCTCTTCGTCTGGGGATATTCGCAAGCTTGTCGTCTCGTGGCGAGCTCGTCGCTACATTCGGACACCAATCTGAATCGTCGTTGCTACTTGCCGAAAATTTTGGAACTCTTTTAACGACATGCAAAATGAACAGCATACCAGAAACACTCTTGAAAAACTTTGCCATGTCAGGAGAGACACAACCACCCTCGAGGGGATGGCCGAGCAAATCCTGCTCGTCCCTTGGGGTCGGATCGACGGTCTTCAGAAGCCCACGCAGATGCAATTGTTGAAGCATATCATATCATGCTTCAGGACAACCGTTGTGCCTTCTTTTGCGCCATCCGCCTTCTCCCCCTCCCATTTTTTTTTTTACCCTCGGAAGTCTAGTGGGTGAGGAAAGTGGCTCTGAATACCAAGTGTTATGAATGGAACTGCCGAGTAGCGCAGGGGGCAATGTCAAAACTGTGAACGAGTGAATGACAATGAAATAAAAGACAACACAATATATAGAAAGCCTAGGGTGATCTTGGACGTTGGATCGGAAGGTTCTGGAAAGGTGTCGAAGGGCCTCTATGTGTCGAAGCGAGGTCCGGAAAGGCCCAGGAGGCTCGAACTGAAAGGTCTGGAACCCTATCGCTGGTTAGGGACTGTTCGAGTCGTACGCCCTGTAGCAAGCCTCAGTAAGGAATTACTAATTCCTTACGAAGATCTTCTCTAGCATAATTAGCTAGCCAATTAGGTTTGATGCAACTTGAAAAGGCACAGACATCTGCTTTTGCGACTAAGGGACAAAACTGCGATGGGGTAGAGGGTACACAGTCGAGAAATGCAAGCAGGGGAAACTGGGCGAGAAGATGCAGTTACCTGATTGGTTGGCGGGGAAAATATGTCGTACGGTGGGGAAAATGGCTCGGGCAAAATCGCAAGCAGCGCGCCACCTGTCGCCCAGCCCCCACTGCCTGTAAGCTGCACCAAGTGGGCCCAACTTGAATTTCAAGTTGGACCCGGGTTCACTACACCAGCAAAACTGAGGCTGGGCCCCGATTGGTCGAAATGCTAACCACACAAATCTATGGTCGTAAAATTTGTCGCCAGTGCGAAATGTCGCAAGCGCAATTCGATTTCGTGGCCTATGGCTTGGTAAAAAACGGGGGCTGCTGCCTGCCCCTCCAAAAACATATTCACTGCTGGGTCATTTCTAGTTGGGCCCCAACTAGAAAGGGGGGTCACTATTATAGTCTCTCGCTTTAAATTCGTCCCATACCACAGATAAGAGCTTTGATATTGCTGAGCCTCGGTAAAAAAGTTCCCGCGTTGTGCCCAACCTACAGGTTTGTTTGGGTGTCCCCGCAAGTGATAGAGGTGCTCGTTTCATGCACCTCGCCCGGCACAGATCAGGAGGAGGGACGAGTGGAGAGGGAGATGCATTTATCACCTCACCTTATACAGTGCTGTGGTGATTGTTGCTTGTGGTGGTGGTGGTGGTAGATGTACAAATGATGTCCGCAAAATGCCCAGCCCAATTCTGTCCCAAAGTGCACCCCCCCGATCGATACTTCCATCCACATTCATTCAGCGCGACTCGTGAACAAGGTGTTCTAAAGTCGGGCACCCTTTGTAGAAGTGTTGGTGGTGGTGCTGCTGCTGGTGCACCGTACAGTTGTCATTCGTGAATCGTGTTTCGCTTTTCGCTAAGGGAAGGTGCTGCTCTTTGTTCGAGCCACCTCTTCCGTAGATTTCAAATCTTGTGGCTATGGTGCGTTCCACCTCGCGTGTGGACGGAATTACGTTCAAGATGTTAGGAGCAATCATGGACCGGCAGAGCGGCAGATGGTTCTAGAACCGGCACCAACCAACCGATGCACGGCACTCGGGTGATGCTCCTTCTCAGAGTGACTGTTTCGGGATGTTCGTTAGACGCGCAGCCCAGCTTGTGCTGAAGGGGCACGTCATGAATCGTGCTTCTCTCCAGGTGGACGCTAGAGGGACAGGTGACAGTACAGTATTTGGCGCATTGGCGCATTGGCGCATTGGCGCATTGGCGCATTGGCGCATTGGCGCATTGGCGCATTGTTCCCCAGACACACCCACAACACCAGCCATAGCACGGCAACCACAGTTTCGGTGGCGATAACTTTTTTTGGCTCAGCCCAATCCCAGCAGCTGGAGCTGATCGATTCCACCCTCCGATTTCGGCTTCTTGCGGTGACGCTCTGCCAACAGCTTCACTCGTAGTTCCAGGTCGCCTCTGCTATATCACGTAGTAGTAGTGTCAGCTCCACTGCTCAGACTCTTGAGAGGAGTTTTTATCTCTGCTGGAGCCGCTGGCAGGCACACTGTTCGGCATTTGAGCACTCTGCGTAACGTTCGATTTTAGGTTGAGACCTAGACTTCGTGCTTTATAGCCTCGGTGTAGTAGCCTCGGCGTCCTAGCTTCGGAGCCGCGCATCTCCATGGCGGAAGCAGGCCAGCCGGAACCAGCCCAGTCAGCTGCAGCAGCGCCGCCGGCCCCAGCGGATCCAGCTCAAGCGGAAGAGAAGAAACAGCCGGGCTGCGGCGGCTGTGATTTCTGGTGTTGGGTGAAGACTCTTGGCAAGATAACTAGTGATGTGACTAAGAACATCAAATAATCACAGCAACGTCTTGCTATATTTCACCAACTGGCGATCTCGAATGCTCGTGCGACATCATCCCAAAATTCCAGGATCAGAAATACGGAGTAGGTATACAGTAGGTATGGCATAGGTACGTCTGCTACGGAGTAGCCTTGCTATACGAACAACTATACCTACAATATAGGAGAGGTCCACATTTTTGTGATGATGGCTTGGCTGCCAGCTGCGGCTGCTCCAGCTGAGGCAGGGAAGCGGGAAGAGAAGAAACAAGACAGCAGTGGCTGCGATCTTTAGTGCTAGATGGAAGCCACTGGAAAGACCTGTCAGTGAGATGATGTAGAGATGAGGTTTATTCAAAGGATCCTGCTCATTTGGCTTATTTGTACTTATTATTGATTGTAGATCATTACCTGATAAAGCAATCAGAGTAATGATGATCTGACTGTTAAATTATATATGTTATATAATTGTAGGCTTGGTTGGTAGTGTCACAAGACTTAGTAGCTAGGAAGCCATGAATGTTAAATTATGTATGTTAGTATATAATTGTAGGCTTGGTAATGGTTACTGAACATTACTGTAGAGGGTACAACACCCCTCTTTGTGTCCCTCCCTCTTCTTTCCTACTTCTCTTTTCTCTCGACATTCTCGTCTACCTCCTAGATCTAAATCTCACGCCATTTTCATGTCTCCTATTTCTACCTAGCCTAACTTAAAGACAGAGGGGTGTTGTTGTCAAACAGAACTTAGTATGTTATTGTAGACTATATAGGTTTGTGCTTTAGAGAGTACAACACACTAGCCTATATTCCTTTGTACTCTCTCCTAGTCATTCTAGCATTCTAATATGGTATCATGTATCAGAATGAATAATTGAACTAGAGTGTGTGAGTACAATGGTATATAGACTAGGGTGTTGTACCCTCTAAAGCACAATCCAATATAGTCTACAGTAACGACCTAAGTTACATTTGACATCATGAGTAGGTTAGTGTTCAAATTATATAAGTTATAATTTAATATAGGCTTGGTAGGTTGTTACTGAACCTTTCTGTAGGAGGTACAAACCCCTCCTTGTACTCCCCTCTCTTCTAATCCAACCTCTCTTTTCTTCTCCTCAACTTTCCTAGCACCTAAAACCTCTCGCCATTCTCATGGCTCCTCCTAGCTCCTAGCTAAACCTTGTGCCATTCTATGGCTTCCTAGCTAAGCTAGTCTTTTGACATGGTATCAGAGCAGTTCGTTCCGTGTGGGCCTGCTCCTCGCGTTTCCGCTGCGTGCTCGTTTCTCTCTCTCTCTCGCGCTGCCATGGCGGCCGAGTCAAGCTGCTGTGGCCGCGTCGTCGTGCCGCGGCGCCGCCGTCGACGTCCATGGCGCCCGCGTCCAGCTGCTGTGGCCGCGCCGTCGTGCCGCAGCTCCGCCGTCGCGTCAAGATGCTGTCGCGACGTGACGGCGCCGTCACGCTGCCGCGGCGTCTACGCGACAGCGCGCGGTCGGCGTAACGGCGACGTCGTGCTGCCGTCGCAACGTCGACGCCCCGCTGCGGCATCGACGCCGCTCCATGATGGCGTCGTCGGGCTGCAGCCGGCCGCGTGACGCTTGTGGCGCCGCTAGACCGGCCGCCCGCATGTCAGCCTGTGGCGCCCCCCCCCCCCCCCCACCCCCCTCCTTCCCCTGTGCCCTCTTCCATTCCGCAGACGACGGCTGACTCCCGCCGGCCGTCCCACCGTCGCGGGGCCTGGCCACGTCACCGAGAGGTGCGGGTGCCGCCGCCGCTGCCGCTGTTGTCGAAGCCGCCGCCGCCGCCGCTGTCGCCGCTTGCGTCGGGGCCACGCAGCCGCACGCCGCCGCCGCCGCCGCTGTCGACACTGCCGCCGCTGCTGCCGTCGCCGCCGCAGCCCCTGCGGTCGACGTCGCCGCCTCACGCACCGTGGGTCGACCGACCTAGAGTCGCTGTCACTGTGGCTGGAATGGGGGTGCTAGGTTAGGGGGTGTGGGTGTGTGTGGGCATGTGACTACCAAGCCTAGGGGGTGTGTTCAAATTATATAAGTTATAATTTAATATAGGCTTGGTAGGTTGTTACTGAACCTTTCTGTAGGGGGTACAAACCCCTCCTTGTACTCCCCTCTCTTCTAATCCAACCTCTCTTTTCTTCTCCTCAACTTTCCTAGCACCTAAAACCTCTCGCCATTCTCATGGCTCCTCCTAGCTCCTAGCTAAACCTTGTGCCATTCTATGGCTTCCTAGCTAAGCTAGTCTTTTGACAGTTAGGTCCCGTTCGCCCACCGGCGCTTTCGCCCTAGGTCCTAGCCGGCCCCCGCGCCCGTCCCTGTAGCGACCCGCGCCCTTCCGTTAGCCGGCCCGCGCCCGTCTTGTCACTGGCCCACGCCTGTCCGTTAGCCGGTCCCCGCGCCCGTCCGTAGCCGACCCCCGCGCCCGTCCGTAGCCGGCCCACGCGCCCATCCATTAGCCGGTCCCGCGCCCGTCCGTTCCCCGGCCCGCGCCCATCCGTTCCCCGGCCCGCGCCCGTCCCTCAGCCGGCCCCGCGCCCGTCACTTAGCTGGCCCCGCGCCTGTCCCTTAGTCGGCCCCGTGCCCGTCCGTAGCCGGCCCTTGCGCCCGTCCGTAGCCGGCCCCCGCGCCCGTCTATAGCCGGCCCCCGCGCCTGTCCGTAGCCGGCCACCGCGCCCCTCCGTAGCTGGCCCTCGCGCCCGTCTGTAACGGCCCCCTCGCGCCCGTCCGTAGCCGGCCCCCGCGCCCGTCCGTTAGCCGGTCCGACGCCCTTCCGTAGCCGACCCCACGCCCTTCCGTTAGCCGGCCCGCGCCCGTCCGTTAGTCGGCCCCGCGCCCATCCATAGCCGGCCCCCGCGCTCGTCCGTAGCCGGCCCCCGCGCCCATCTGTAGCCGCCCCCGCCCCCCCCCCCCCCCCCCCCCCCCGCGCCCGTCCGTAGCCGGTCCCCGCACCCGTCCGGTAGCCGGCCCCGCGCCCATCTGTAGCCAGCCCCCGCGCCCGTCTGTAGCCAGCCCCCCTCCCCCCCGCGCCCGTCCGTTAGCCGGCCCCCGTGCCCGTCCGTAGTCGGTCCCCGCGCCCGTCCGTCAGCCGGCCCCGCGCCCGCCCCGTCCCCGGCCCGTGCCCGTCCCTTCACCGGCCCCGCGCCTGCCCCGTAGTCGGCCCGTGCCCGCCCCGTCCCCGGCCCGCGCTCGTCCCGTCGCCGGCCCGTGCTCGCCTCGTCTCCGGCCCGCGGCGGTCCGTTCTCCGCGCCATGCCCTGACGCCCAAACTGCCCATCACGTGCAGCAGGTCCCTGTACCGCATTCCACCGCACTGCATCGCATTGTACGGCACTGCACTGCCCTGCATCGCACTGTATCGCATTGCACTGCACCGCAGCTGCATCGCTCCTGATGGCGGACTCTGTGCTACGGTTTGACGCGGAGGGTCAGCCGATCGAGTTCGACACGTGGCTCATCGACCTCCGCCGTCACCTCACTTGGCAGCGGCAGGACGGCCACTCCTTGGCTGTCCACCTTGACGGTACGCTCCCCTGTCCTGGCCCCCTTGCTGCGCTGCCCGCTGACCCTACGTCTGCTGATCGTGAGTCCACTGCCGCTGCTGCCCTTGCCCGTTCGGTCTGGTTGTCGCATGACGCTGTTGCACAGCTTGCCATCAGTCATGCCCTTCCCCTGTCTGAGCGTCCCCACTTTCGGGATGCACACGAAAGCAGCCGAAACCCGCCAGCTGTCTGCATGCCGCCCATTCAACAACCCCATTGATGTCAAGATTGGGTTGTGACGAAGTTTGGTTTTCAAGTAACAAGGTTTCGCAATTGGTCTGGGCGACAGTGTGGCACTGTCGAGATTGCCAAACGACCCTGCGCGTCGGTGCTTGCATATTTGGAACATGTGGCACTGTTGACACCCTGTCTGCCATAGAGACCCGCCAGCGCTCTATCGCCCAGTCTAGCTGTACTGTGCCGATCTCTATCTTTCAGGGCTGTGTGCCCGCTCAGTGCACTTTCTCTGACGGCTCTGCTATAGTGGCTGAGACAGCCGCTCCAGTGCAGGTTCGTCCAGGAAAGGGCCACCGCCCCAAGGCTGGGCGCGGCGGTGGTGGGGGTGGAGGAGGTGGGGGTGGAGGAGGTGGTGGAGCCGGGTCGTCCGCTGGGGGTGCTGACGACGGCGCTGGGCCTAGCACCGCCAAGCAGCAGTCTCAGCAGCAGCAGCAGGTTCCACCGCTCGACCAGCAGCCGTCGCAGCCGCAGCACCCGCAGCAGCCAGTGTAGCAGCAGTAGCAGTAGCCGTCGCAGCAGTGGCGAGTTGGTCGTTTCCCGCCTGGGTGGCTCGGCGCTGGTGGTGGTGGCAGTCGCGATGGTCGTGCGCGCGGCGTGACGTCGGGTGGTGGTTCGGCCGGGCGCTGCCAGTACCACCTCCACACCGGTCCTCGGCGTGGCCTCGTGTGCGGTAAGATCGGTCACATCCCCACTCGCTGTTTCAGTCGCTTGGACGACCTTTTTCGTCTCCGCGTCGGCCCGTCGCCCGACCTCCCCGACTGGCTCAGCTTGCTCCGTAGGGGTGTTAAGATCTTCGATATGGACATGGATGAGGTTAGCTCTGCGTTATAAGTTCTGTATGTCGATGACTCTAGTATAATTGGTGCCGCTTACCCCGTGTTACCTTATGTAGGTGTGCCTAGCTGAGACTCCCCTGCTGCGTCAGGCGTAGGATCCCCTGATTTGTTTAGCCTAGGCTCCTCCCTCGCTTCCTCGGCCCCAGCCGCCACTGTCGCGCTCTCCTTCATCCTTGATTCCGGCGCTTTCCGGTGCTTTCTTCCGAAACTCTATTACTCTCACGTCGCTTGCCGCTCCCTCCGCAATTTCCCTGGCTGACCCTTCCTCAGGCCCTGTCGTAGCTCATATCTCCACTACCCTTCCCTGTCCAGCGGCTCCTTCGGGCTCTCTTACAGGCTTGCACATCCTCTCGTTCTCTAGGAACCTAGTTGGTGTCGGCGGCCTCTAGAACCTTGGCGCCACCACTACGTTTCCTGGTCACGAGCGGTACGCTGTCTGTATCGAGGCCGTCACAGGTGCTCCCCTCACCACGTTCCCCCGGGACCTGGTGTCCGGCCTGTTCACGCTGGACACCGCGCCCCCTTCGGTTGGGACATCGCCCTAGGTGACTGTGTTACCTCAGGTAGCTGCGGCTTGCTCATCTCGGCCGCTTACTCACCCGATACTCCTGTGGCACCTCCGTCTAGGTCACCCTGCACTCCCTCGTCCTCATCATATGTCTCAGCACGGTCTTGTTTTAGGTCTCCCTGGGTCGTTCCCCGCGCTCCGCTCCTCACTTGCGCCGCCGTGCACCCCTTGCGTCAAGGGCCGGCTCCGCCGTGCCCTCACTCCTCCTCGTTCCCCCCCACCGCCGCACTCTTGCAGACCTTGCACATGGACGTTTGGGGCCCTGCCCCCGTCCATGGGCCGCGTCGTGAGCGTTACTTCCTCGTCCTAGTTGACGATTACACTCGTTACATCACCGTGTTTCCCTTGGAGCGGAAGGTCGACGTGCCTGACGTTCTCATCCCGTGGCTTGTCTCTGCGCGTGTGCACCGCGGTCTCCTTGTGTTGCGTTTCCACTCTGATCGCGGTGGCGAGTTCGCCTTTGGTTGCCTTGGGCGTTTCTGTCGTGCGGAGGGCATCACCCAGACGTTCACCTTGCCGGACAAGCTCACTGCCCGCACACTCCCCTTTGTCTTCCTAGGTTTCCCCCTTGACTCGTCTGACTGGCACTTCTACCACCCCCCGTCTCACCGTTTCTTTCACTCCCGCGATGTCACCTTTGACGAGTCCATCTCCTTCTACCAACGCTTTCCCCACCGTGGTCCCCCGGTTACTCCCCCCCAATTCCTGGTTCCCCCTCCCCCGATCGCCCCTGCCCCGCCTCCTCCCCGCCCTGCCCCGGCTGGTGTGTCTCACGTCACCCCCCTCCCGTCGGTTGCCCCGGTTGAGGAGTCTATTGACTCTAATGCCCTACATCGCAGCCGCAGCCGCCGTCGCAGCTGCAGCCGTCGTCAAAGCCGCAACAGCAGAAGCCACTGTTGTCGCCACCATAGCAGCAGTTCGTGCCTTTTTGGGGTGCTGGCGTTGAGGAGGGTGCTCATCCTGGGGTTCCTGTCGTGGCGTGTCCCGGCGGGCCTGGGGGTGGTGACGGTGCTGAGAGAGCTCCTGGTTCTGGGGGTGTTCCGTCTGGGGGTGCTAGAGTGGAGTGTTTCGAAGGTAGCCGTAGAGCAGCTGGCGGTCCAGGTGTCGGCGTTGTGCAGCCGCCGCAGCAGCTGTCGCCGCCGGTGTCCGCCCTCCACCTGCTCGTCCCTCCCTCCCCTGACCGCGCGTCTGCCTCTCTCCTATCGTCTCCTCCTCTTCTTATCTACAGCCCTGTGTTCCCTCCTCTGGACTCGTCTTCGGCTCGTCTTCCTCCTCGTTCCCCTCCTGTTACTCCTCCTCTCTCTCCTGAACCGACGCCTCCGTCCCACGTCTGGTCTCGCCGTCCCTCTCGAGCTCGTCCTGTCTCTCCTGTTCCCCGTTCTCACCGATGTTGCTTCGTTCCCACGTGCCTCGTCCTCCCCTCCTGCCGTCGCCTCCTCCGTCCTCACTTGCTGTCGCGCCTCCCCCTTTGTCTGACTACCTTCGTGTCACTCGTCATCTTGTTCCTCGGGTCCTTGCCTCCCTCGTTACCGACCCGTCTGTTCCTGTTTCGCGTCTTGACGCTCTTGTTGCTGCTGTCGTTCACTTTGCCTCTACCCGCCGCCTTGACTACGCCAGCGCTCTAGTCTCTGACCCTATTTGTCCTCCGTCCGTCGAGGGTGCTTCTGCCCTCGGCAGTGACGTCTTGGAGGACCGGCAGTATGAGCTTGCTTTCTTGTCCGAGGCTGCTCCCCATCTCTGCTCTATGCTTCTAGTCCCTGAGGGTGACCCCGACGCTTTCGACATCCCGACCCCTCGCACTTACGCTGAGGCGGTCTCGGGACCCTGAGCCTCTTAGTGGATAGCTGCCATGGAGCAGGAGATGGCATCTTGGAGATCCACCGGCACCTACGTCGACGCAGTTCCCCACCCGGGGTGAACGTAGTCGATGGCCGCTGGCTCTTCAAGGTGAAGCGCCCTCCTGGAGAGCCGCCTGTGTTCAAGGCGCGCTACTTGGCTAGGGGCTTCAGTCAGCGTGAGGGGGTGGACTTCTTTCAGACCTTCGCGCCGACCCTGAAGATGACTACTCTTCGGGCGCTGCAACACGTAGCAGCACAGCGCGACTACGAGTTACACTCCCTCAACTTCTCTACAGTTTTTCTTCAGGGCAGCCTACATGAGCAAGTCTACCTACGCCGCCCGCAGGACTTTACTGGTACCTTCCCTCCTGGGACCCAGTGGCTCCTGCGGCGCCCAGTCTACGGCATGCGACAGGCGCCCAGTGAGTGGCACAACACACTGCGTGCTACCCTAGCTGACTTGCAGTTCTTCCTATCCTTTGCGGACCCCTCGCTCTTCGTTCGTGCTGGCCAGACCCCGTTCTACATCCTTGTTTACGTAGACGACTTGGTCTTCACTACTGCAGACAGGGATGCTTTGGCCTTCGTGAAGGCAGAGCTCTTGAAGAGACACACCTGCACTGACCTAGGAGAACTGCGCCACTACCTTGGCCTGCAGATCTCCAGCGACAGAGCAGCGTGCACCATCACTCTCTCACAGTCGCACTTGGTGTGCCAGGTCCTTCAGCGGTTCGGTCTTCAGTTCTCCTCTGCAAAGCCTACACCCTTGCCAGTCGACCACAGGCTCTCAGCTCTAGTTCCGGAGGAGTTAGTAGAGCCTAGTGGTTTGTACGCGGAGCTGGTGGGTTGCCTCATGTACCTGATGACTTGCACTCATCCAGATCTCGCCTACCCTCTCAGCATCCTGGCTCGCTTTGTGGCCACAGGCAGACACCGACCACAGCACTGGTCGGCCGCTAAGAGGGTTTTGCGTTATCTAGCAAGTACATCGGGCATGGGGTTAGTGCTAGGAGGACGAAGGCCAGTGGTCCTTACTAGGCACACAGACGCTTCTTGGTCAGACGACGTTGAGACCCTTAGGTCCTTGCAGGGCTACTGCTTTAGCCTTGGTTCACGTGCTGTTTCGTGGAGAGCTACCCGCTCCTCGTCTGTTGCCCAGTCTAGCTGTGAGGCTGAGATCTACGCAAAGCCATGGCAGCACAGGAGCTCCGCTGGCTGACCTTCTTGCTTACCGACTTAGGTGAGCGGCCTAGCTCTGCCCCGGTCGTGTACGGTGACAACAGGGCCATGATGTTAAAATACTAGCTAGAAGCTAGGTAGGTTGGAAGCCATGAGAATAGCGCAAGGTTTAGCTAGGGGGTAGAGGAATGTCGAGAGAATAGAGGGGCGACTAGAGAGAGGGAGGGATATAAGGAGGGGATTGTACCAGCTATACTAGAGTTCGATAACCTACAAAGCCTACTAATTATATAACAAAATATATAATTTAACACACCCCCTAGGCTTGGTAGTCACAAGCCACCCAACACACCCACACCCCCTAACCCTATACACCCTCATGCTCGTGATCAGCCGGGTATCTACCCCTCGTGCGAAGCGATGACACCCCCAACGAGAGGCAGCTGGTGGCGTCTGGGCGGCCTCAACAACTACAGTGGCGGAGCTCATGCTCAAGGCGGGTGCGTCGATGACGGCAGGCGGGTCTGCCATGGCTGAGGAAGAGGAGACGCAGGGGGGAAGGAAAATGGGGGAGGGCGAGTCTTCAGCGACTCGCCATGGATGGCGCGGCGCTTACTGGCGGGACGGCGGAACGGCGGCATGGACGCATGGCGGCACGGCGAAGCTGCCACGTCAGTGCGGCGAAACCAACACGGCTGCTCGACAAGGCAGCTATGCGACGAGGCCGTCACAGCACCTCAACATGGCCGCCACGGCTACGCGTCGAGGTCGCCATGGCAGCTCGGTGAGGGACGGCGGCAGCACGGAAGGGACAGTAGAAGTGCGGGGTGGAAGCGTGAGGAGGCGGTCCAGCAGGGACAACCTCCTGCCCTGATACCATGTTAAAATACTAGCTAGAAGCTAGGTAGGTTGGAAGCCATGAGAATGGCGCAAGGTTTAGCTAGGGGGTAGAGGAATGTAGGGAGAAGAGAGGGGCGACTAGAAAGAGGGAGGGATAGAAGGAGGGGATTGTAC